GACCACCGCGGAGCCCCAGCCCGGAACGCTGCCCGCGCAGCTCGCCAAGCCAGGTGAGAGCGTCTGCTAGGCTGGGGTCAGCCTCGAAGGAGGAAACTTCGAGTGCCCTTGGGGATCCGTTTGGAAGGCGAGGGCACGTTTGTAGGAAGTTGACCTGATTGGGCCTACATCCCCAGCAGACACTGACTCTTACTCTCCGGGAAAAGTGAGTCTCTTACAGAGTCTGAACCCGATGCAGGTGGAACCCAGGAGCCGGCCAAATATCCAGGCTGTATGTCCCTGTCTCCTGGTGCCTTCTCTGGGCTGAAGGGGAAACTTAACGTCAATTCTACAAACTATTTGTAAAACGAAATCTGGGGAGGGACCGCTTTTAAATGCACCATGATGAGGCGGGTTTTAGGGGGGCTCTCATTTAGGGGTAGGGATAAATAGGTGAGGGTTAGCAGTTAGGGCCCAAGTGCTTTGCTGTTTCTAGGTGAATCTTGGCTTGGCCCGGGACACGGGAGCAAAAAGGCGACATCTTTAACTTAAAGGAGCTCGGACATTGTAGCTGGGTTGAAGACTTGACTTAAAATTCGGTAAAAAAACAAACAAACAAACAAAAAAAACAAAAAGAAAAAGAAAAAAAGTCGCCTTTTAAGAACTGTAGAAACTGTAGATAAAAGGTTCCTGAAGTCGTCAAAGCGAGACCAGCTAACTCTTTTTGTTGAATTACCTCTTTGGTCCTTTAATTCCTTTCCCCAAGTTGCTGTGATTTGAAGAAATTAAAAATAAAACTTGGCCTACCTTGGGGAAAACTTAACAAGTACTTTTCCAGGTTTAGGCAGGCTCGGCCTGCTGTGAAACAAGGGAAAGCTTTTTGGGCCTTCTTGCTTCCCTCTGTTCTCTTTTACTCTCAGAAATGCTTTTATTTGGGGCGTGGTGGTGGTGGTGGTGGTCTGAGCCCTGAAAGTACGCAGACCCCAGTTTCTACCTAATTCTGTCACCCTGGCTCCTTCCTGAGTCTGGCTGCCCCCAGTTTAAGCCTCTTCCCCACTTTCCTCAGAAGGGAACCGCTGGCTTCTCTGCGTGCCCCTCTCAGCAGTGGGAATTCAGTGGACTTGAGTCTGGTGTTTCCCCTCACTGGGTAAACGTACAAAGGCAACAAGCCCATCTCCTCTGAACCGGTGTACTGAAATTAAAAGTGAAAGGCCCACAGTTTTTCTGTTGATAGAGCTGCTGCTACCACTTCCTCAGCTCCTCAAAGACAGCTAGATCTTCTTCAGAAAGGTTTTCTAGAGCCCCAGAGTGCTGAGCTCAACTGCTGAAGATATACACTCCCTGATGTGTGGTGAAATGGTAGGCCAGTCCCGCCTTCTGGCTCAGTTAGGGTATTTAGGCCTGAAGTTCGGAAAGCAGGTTGCTGACCGGGTTTTGTGGATATTTAACTATAAGGGGAATATAAGCATTTCTCTGTAGCACCGCCCCCTCATCGCCTCTTATTTGTGGATTTGCCTTGGAGAGTCTAGAAGGATTCCTTCAGGTGAGAACAAGTAGGAGAGTTTGACCTCAGTTCTAGAAGTGACTCCATGCTACTATCTTTTAATTTTCCATTCCAGTTTCCCTGGCTCTAGGACTAGAGTCTTCCAGGGTAGAGCAGAAGGATGAGTTACAATTCAATTCTGCATTTTGCAATGCCCATCTGCCCACCAGTGCCTCCTGTAGTGCAGGAACCTTGAGTTCCATGGTCTTTGTTCAAGAGGGGTTCCTTCAGCATCGTATGGTCCTCCTCAGATTGGTCTCCAAAATGTATAGTCACAAAACCTAAAACAAGCTGAGAAAGAATTGGGCAAAGGCACTAGGGGGCCAAGCTGAAGCAACAGCGGGGTTCAAGCTTTAGGAGAATAAAAGGGGGCAAAGAATTTCAACTGCACAAACCAGACTTGGGGCTTGTTTTCTCTCCCTCTGCTTCCACCAAATACTCAGGGATAGCTGGAGCCTTCCAAATTGAGAACAATTAATTGGGAGGGGGAAAAGGTAGAAGAATGACTTCCAGAGACTAAGCTGTGAGGGACCAAGGGTTCAGTTCCCAGCTGGCCACAACTATGTACCTTGAACATTCACTAACTTTTGTTTTCGTTTATCAATTGCAGTCCCTTAAGAAAAAAAGCTTGGGAGAGGTTTATAAACTGATTATAATTTTCCACTACAAACACAAATAAATAAGTGGGCTGGTTCTATGCAACACATATAAAAAGCAACTCTGTCGGGAGCCAACACTAAAATTAATTAAAGTAACATTAAAATGGGGCAGTCAAATTAAAACTCCTGGCTAAGACCGCCTGTTGCTGTGTTCCCGTACTTTTGTGCAGAGTATTTGTGTGTGACATGCCATGCATTTTTAGAGGTAGATTAGACCTTCCTGGATAAGTTTGTCCATGCCACGTAGAGAGTATGTGCATCCCCGTGATTGGGATGGAAGGGCTTTGAGTCAGGGCCCAGCTGCAGTCTCATCTGTCGGCTTACACACGGTTCAGGTCTGCTCCTTTGTGAACTGGAGTTTGAGAACCTGTTTGGACTTTTTGCAGGGCAGAGGGTAGCAAAGAGACAGGTTGTTCTTGAAGACCAGCACGGGTGCACTGGCACACCAAGTTCCATTTTTCCTCTGGATCTGTAAGCACAGGCCTTAAGAAGGATGTTGGCTTGGCATCATGAGAGAAAACCCCACACAGTTCAAGGAGAGTAGTGTGAACGGCAAAACTCGGTTTTCTGACTGGAAGAAATCTTTCCTTAATCTCTCCTTCAGTTGCCTTAGTTTGGGCACTGCTTTTTAATGTGAATTTAAGAAGGTTCTTCTGACTATTCTGGCTATGGATTGAAATATCTTTTTAAATTGCAGTCTTTTTCTGCCTGTCAATCTCTGCTACCAGTTCTGACTGACCTGTAATTAATTAGATTTTGATTGCAGGCCCTGTTTCTAACTTAACCCTCTCTATAAATACAATGGAACTCACCTGTTTTGCTCCCTTTCTATCACCTCCATCCCCTCCCCCAAGAAAATAGCATGGGAAGACTAATCTCCCAGGCTGGCTGGGCTTCTGATTCAGCAGTCTCATCCAGACAAGCCAGCCTTTCCAGACCCTGGGCTCTGGGCTCTGGGCTCTGGATATGAGGGAGTTTAAGGGTCATGGCCAAGGTGAGAAGCTGCAGTCAAGGTCCCTTGTGACTGGCTTCTTCCTCACCCCAAACTTTTCCTTTAGAGGAGGATCCTGGGTGGCCATAGGCTGTGGTGCCTGGGAAGGACAGATCTATGGCTGTAGAATGCTCCTTGTTGTGTTTCTGCAATATATTTTGTGTGTGTGTGTGTGTGTGTGTGTGTGTGTGTGTGTGTGTGTTATATAATGATGTTATGTTCATTATATCTATATAATCAGTTCTTTTAAATGCTCTTGAAGGGGAAAGACAGGGAGGCATTTGCTTAGGAATTAAGAGGAGAGTAGGATAGGAAGGTGAGGTGTCTTTTATTATGAAAAAAGCAAACATGGCAGCTGGAGAGAGGTTGATTTTGGGAAACTGACTCTATTTTGTCTCCTGCTGAAGCACCTTGATGATTGCTGTGGGCTTCCAGCTCCAGTGGGATTGGACTACCAGGTCTGCTTCCTTGGTTTTCTTTTTTTTTTTTCTTTTTTTTTTTTTTTCCTTTTAATTTCCCAGAGAGATACTTAGCCATGTGTGTTAAGGGAGAGTTCATGGAAGCCAGATAAGGAGATCCTGTCTGGCTGTGCACTCAGAGCCAGGAAGAAGCTGGGAGCAATTAAAGTCACCTGGGTCATACAGCTACAGATTGCAAAGCTTATCTGGCTTTAAGATGGCTTGATTTGAACCCAGGGGCCTTAAGAAAAGCCAGATAAAAAGAAATTTGGGGACAGCATGACTGTCCCTTAGAAACTTTCCTTCAGAGCTGGCTCTGGGGGTAAAGGAAAGTGGGGGCAATGACTGGCCAAGG